ACTCAACTGTGAATAAAATTCTTTTTACTTTTAATTGTGTATTATTTATTTCACATTTAGTCAGTTGTACACAAAGTACTTAAGCGGATGTGTTAAAACACTGTTTCTATGCAGGAAACACCATGTAGAGTTCAGTTAGTGTTTGTTAGTTATGCTCAGCCATAGCAATGAGATGAGGAACGTGACGTTTCATGTTTAGTCAAAGTTAAACACAAAATGTCAAAAACCGTGTGGCCCTCAGTGAAAATGTGTTTGACACCTCTGACAAAAAGGACAGAGTCAAGAAAGGTCTTATTTGAGCCACTATCCAAATATTTCAGAGAAAAGATGGTACGATTGCTTTTTAAACTGCAAAGATAGCAGAGGATATTATCTTTTTTAAGACCCGTCTGAAAAATTACTTTTTCTCATTGGCCTTTAACACAAATGAGACTCGATTTTACTTAGTTTTTTTAGTGATCGTATCTGTTTATCTTTGTCTCTATCTTTTTATCTTTTATGTTTTTTTACTGACACTTTGTTTCATCTATGACTGGTGTTAAAGCGAGTTATAAAGTTGATGATGATGACCTTCTTTTTACCTAAATTGTTCCTAGATCAGTTTAAATGGTTTAACAAACAAAAACAATGCAAATTGTCAGATACTAAAAAATTTTCTTCACCAAAAATTAACATTTACAAAAAAAGTTAACAAATTAATAAAACTAAATTTAAAGAAAACTTTGAAAGCCTTCAGAGAGCCTGAAGAGTAAAAACAACTTTATAAAAAAAAATTCTGACAAAATATTAAAATAAATAAATAAATTAAAATATTTAGAGAAAAAAATCCTGAAATGTATTCTGAGGAACAAGCTTTCCTCATCTGTTAACACTAATAGATTACACTTTAATCCTCTGGTTTTTCACCTTTTTATCGTTTCGATTCCTGACCAAACCCTCTTAGATCATGTTAGAGCAAACCTAATTGTCCAGCTCTGTTTAGCTTTAAAGCTGAAAATAAAACCTACTATTAAACCTCAAAGACATCCCTCATGGGGAGAGGGTCAGTGCTGGTCACCACACGATCAACACGACACATGGCTGTCCAAACATGATTCATRCTTTAATAAGAGTGAATTGTCAAAGTACTGTGATAGCATCATTTGTTTTATTCTCAACAGATTTCTATTAAATCTAGAAAATATTGCCAAACAGGACATATTGTTCAGATTCATGTTTTACTGTCCCTCATCAAATGAAAAACAAGCAGTATTTATTGTGTATATTTGGTCATTGTAAAATAAAAAAAGGTATCATGGTGTTGCTAAAGAACAACCATTTTAGCTATATTTAGTTATAAGCCATCATTCCTTGAAGGAATACTTATCAGCCATCCCATTTCATTTTAAACTTACATCATTATACTTTAAGAAATGATGTAGTTGTGGTTTTGGGCAAATCTTGGAAAAGACACGCAAGCTCACAGAGTATGTGATGTGGATGATTCTCAGCTACCATCACACCAAATTTTACCTCAGTGTTTGTTAAATTATTTGAGGTGTAGCCATTTTGTGTTTGTTAGGGTCAGTTAAAGCTCTCTTAATGGTCCGTCTGAACCTGCAAAATCTGATCTCATTGCCATAGCTGCGTGACAAAAATTGCGTTATTTTGTGCTCAGCTTTGTGCCCGACCCTTCTTGGCACATACACCAAGGCTGAACTTGACAGACATTTWTAAAAATAGTCAAATGGCCAAAAATTCATGAATGGAGATGAGGCAGACATTGTGCACTGGAGCTTTAACCGTGGCTGGCCCATGGCATAGGCAGTGTAGGCAAATACTAAGGGAACTGTTCATCTAGGGGTGGCCACAAATGAGGGTCAAATGATATTTTATAACTTTTTTATCAGACTTTAGTTGATTTAGTCTGTAGAGTAGTCACTGGTTAATCAGGTCTCACAGCTGCTCGTTAACATGAACAGGTGTTCCTCATTGCTGTCAGCTGATGTTGGCAGGTATGAGGTAGACTTCTACTATTCTGTTTCAAATGAAATATTAACTATTTTAATGTACAACCTGGTTTCTAAAGATAAAAAATAGTATCAAAGACAAAACTATTTAATTTGGTATGTGACTGTTTGTAAATTGGCAGTGAGATTAAGAAATTTACACAAGGGGTGGCATATGAAAACTTACTGAGGACACCAAATTGGCTAGGGCCAGTCCTGCCTGTGTGACAGATCTATGTCCAAACAGTGGATGTCKAAATGGAGTTCAGCGGGAAGAAACCCTGTGCTGTGACATGTACAGCAGTGAGGGCTTTCCCAGGAGCTCCATGTCTCATAGTCTGTGAAACATGTGTGAAAACGAACGTCGAGCAACCATGTGACCGTGCATGTTGAGTGTTCGACTTCAGATGAAGCATGCTGAGCCCTCGGCTTTGGCAAACATCTCAAATCACAGTTTTAGATGGACATCCAATGATCACTTTCTTGAAGCTTCATTAAAATTTGACTAGTGGTTCATGAGCTATTTTGCTAACAAACATGGGCAAAAAGATGATTTCCCAGAAGGCAACAATTAAAACCAATTCTTCGACAGAAAGCATAGAAAAACTGCAGCTTTTTGACCAACCGGACTGTTAAAGGACACTTGAGCAGTTCTTCTCATGGATCGTGCTTGTGCATGAGTCTGTGTGACGCACAACATGTTTCCTATTAGCGCCAATGAT